GCGTGGTTACTGTTTATTTGTGAAAACGTTTCTTGCGCCATTGGGAATTGCTTAAAACTGATCTAGCATCAGAACCAACAGGAAAAGCATTTTTGTCACTCCAGTCGATCTTGTGAGTTTCAAATTCAAAGCTTACATTTGGGAAAAAGTTTTGTAGTATCTAAACACACACGGTGGATTACTTCTCCGGTTGAAGAGCCCATCATTGGGTCAGCGTTGGATCGCTATGCCATCCTCGTGGTTTATCTTGCTGCATGACTAGGAGAGTTACCCCAGTGTGGAAGATATTGAAGATGACAGGGGCCAAAATGCATCCCGGTTTGACACCAGCATTCACTTCAGAGGGCTCGGAGACTCCACCACCAATCAAGATCCATGCCACCATACCATCATGGAGTTGTTGGAGGATGGAGAGATAGGTTTGGGGGACAGCTAAATTTCTCCAGAACTCTCCACAGGAGAGACTGATAAATGGTATCAAAAGCCTTGGCTACGTCGATAAATGCAACATAAAGTTTGTTTTGTTGCTCCCTGCACTTTTCAAGGAAGAGTTGTGAGACAGAAATCATGTCAGTACTGCTTCTGTTTGCTTGAAAGCCACTTTGTGCTTCAGGCAGCATCCGTCCAACAAATTCATGAAGGAGTCTGGATAGCATGATCATGGTGTCCAGCAGGGAGATGTCATGGCTATTTCCACGGATTGATCTGTCTCCCTTTCTTTTGTAGATCGTTTATATATTTGCATATTTCCATCGTCGGGGAATATTCAGTCAGCATTGTTGGAGGAATTGGTGAAGACGACGTAAAAGCTGCTCACCACCATACTTGAAAAGCTTCACCAGGCACCCCATGTGATCCAGGTGATTTCCTGTTCTTCAAATGCTTGACAGAGTGCCTGACCTCTGGCAGTAACAGGACATCATCCAGCTCAGGGATAGTTGGGAGTGAAGGAAGTTGATTCAGGAGACTTTCATCCACAGGCCAAGAGCAGTTTAATAGCTCTTTACAGTGCTCTCCCATTTATCACAGAAACCCTTGGTGTCACAGATGAGTTCTGAAGAACAAACAGGGGCCACGAGGCTGAATGCGGACCATGAATGGATTCAATGGCATCGTTGAAGATTGAATTTTTGCAGCCTTTTTCATCCACCAGTCATTCTTAATCTTTCACAAAGCATGTTGAGCCTTTGTTTGCAGATCTTTTCAGGCACGGTGTCATTGGGGAGTCAGATAGGAGAGATACGAGTTATGAGCAGCAATATTTCTGGACAGCAGTGGCTGAATAGTGGCTGCTGATTCGTCAAGCCAGTCATGTTTGCAGTGAGAGGTCTTAACCAAGCATTTTAGGGCAGATGAATATATCAAGGAGATGGATCGGTTCCAAGATTGGTCAGTGTGGTCTTGGCTGAGGTGGTCGAGGTTGGCGTCCAATATTGGGACACTAAAGTGTTGAGAAAGTGTGTTCTGAAACTTCCGTTTCTTTACAGGGTCTTGGAAAGCTGCAACACTGATTTTGCTGAGCGCTTTGGTCTTTTGGTGCAGGTGATGTAATGTAACCTCCATCTTGAAATGGAGCAAGCGGTGGTCCGTCCAGCATTCAGCTCCGCGCAATACCTTGGTGAGCTGAACATCTGGACAGTCTCTATGACGTACGATAACGTAGTCCAGTGTATGCCATTGACAAGATCAAGGATGCATCCATGTGCCTTTATACATGTAAGGTAGTTGAAACAATGTATTGGTGATGCATAGTTGGTGCTCTGTGCACATTGTCGGCAGGCGTAGGCCATTTTCGCTCATGTTCCCAGTGCCATGGTTTCCAATGAGTCGATTAGACTTCGGATTTGGAGCCAACGTGGGCATTGAAGTCCCCCATCATCAGAAGGATCTTGTCGGCGTGTGGGATAGAGCGAAGAATGTGGACCAGGGATCCATAGAATTCATCCTTCGCTTCATCACTGGCTAACAGGGTAGGCACATAGACACTGATGATGGTCGTGTGGTTTGCCATGGACAGTGGGATGCAGAGCATCATGAGTCATTCTTTAGCACCAACAGGTGTCACAGAGAATTGACAAAGCAGAGAGGATTTAACAGCAAAACCAACCCCCCTAAATCCTCCAGGACCCAGTTGGCAACCCCTTCCAGAGGAAGGTGTACCCTCCGTCATTTGCAACTAGAGATCCCTCATCAAGAAGCCTTGTTTCGCTTAATAGTGCAGTGACATCAATGTTGTATCTTCCGAGTCCTTGTGCAATGGAAGCTGTTCACGGGGGGGGTCTAAAATCGCTGTCTGGGAGGCTAGTATATCGGTCAATGTCCGAACATTCCACGATCCGAAGATTAGTGTTTCTCAGATTTTTCTGCCACAGAGGGAAGTGCCTTCACCAGGTGCGGTAACCTGGTCAGGTGTTGAGGGAACAAGCTTTGATAGGTCCTCCCATCATTTGATGGCGGAGAGTGCTTTCCTAACAAGGCTGCCCGGTCACACCAGGAGGACACAAAGGAGGTGTTTGTTCCCTGGCCCACCTGACAATAGCCATCACACTGGTACCGCTCCTGTGCAGAGTCCTGTCTAGAAGTTTCCAGGCGCACTCTGCGTGCATCATGTGGTAAGTGTGCGTTAGGCATCCAAACCAGTGGGCAAAAAACCTTGGGCCGCGGCAGGAAATTTGTTGAAAGACGCTCACTTCAAGTATGAGCAAAACAAACTCAAATTAAACTCATGAACACAGAAAATACATACTTAAATAAGAGACCAAGTTCTGTGAATTAACTGACAGAAAACTTCTTGCAACATCAATTTTTTTTACCGATGGCTTTAGGGTTGCAGGCATGTATGGCCAATGTAAAGTAATTGACCGGAACGTACAGTACATGTATAGACTGGTTCTGGTTATTTCTTTGCATGGGTGCGGCGTGGCGGGAACCAGAGCAGCTTCGTTTTAATGCATTGAGCTGTGGGCACGTGTTTTCACCTCTGTGACAGTGAAACGTAAATGACAACTTGTGAAAATAATGTAAGTTTCTTTCCAAAAATTGCAAATGTAAGTGCAAGACATACAAAAACAAGCATTTTAACCCGAGAAAAAGTTATTGAAAGATATTTTGTGAAGACAGAAAAGACATCAGCTTTTCTAGACTTGCCCTAACGGGCACACCTAGGTAGAATTTTAATTGCCTGAAGGAATATTTGATTGCCCTGGGCTATCGGACAGGTGATTCATCATGGCCTGGATGGTCAGGATATCCAGAAGCCACGAACAAAGTTCCGTAAAGACGAGAGAATCAGCATTCCATAAGTTGTTACCAGCTACAATTCAAATATGGTGGAGTAGACCACAGTTACCAGTACCGGGCTTATTATACAGTCGGTCGTACAGGCAAGCGCTGGTGGAAATACCTCTTGTGGGGACTTTTGAACCAGGCACTTGTGAATGCCTACATTCTGTGGGAGTTATCAACCAGACCTCACAACAAGCATAGACGTACGTGGTCGCTGAAGGCCTTCAAGCTGGCGATAGTCCACCAGTTGGTTGATGGCCACACGTCACGTAAGAGAACATCAGTTGGACTCAACTTGAAACCACCCATCACAATGGTTATTGCCAAAGATGGGTACCCTGGCCACTTTATTGTGCAGTTTGGAGACAGAAAATGCATATGTGTGTAACCAACAGAGGAGAACAACAGAAGGCGGTCACGCAGTGCAGACAACGTTTGGCTGTTCAAAATGCATGTTGAACTTGTGCCGCATCCACAGCTTTAGGGAGCGGCACGCTGAGCAGTAATGAATCATTAGGCTCCTGAACAGTGTACCTACATGTATATAATGTAGGCATCCTGAGGACAGAATGACTAGGCCAACAATAATACATAAAAGGTATTTCCATTATCAGATTTATTTTACACGTTTCTCAATAATTTGTATACGCATGAACTTGTAGCAAAATGCCAAAAAAATCACAGCAAAAGCAGTATCAAGAGTTGTTTGTACATGTATCATATTCAGGATTTTCCCTAAATTGTTTCAGGGAGTAAATGACCACAGTGTACAATTGCTAATGGGTTAAACAGGTCCAATATATGACAGATATGTGATAAACTGCAAGAATAGTAATTGCAACACAAATGCAAAGGGGAATTACAGAGGCATTGTCAAAATAATGGGAGAAAAGGTGCTCAGCTGTCTGAAATTCAGGACTTGCAACTTCGTAAGTTGACGCCTGGTTCTTTTTGATTATTACAGCTGGACAACATAATGTGCAGCTTGACTTGTACTTAGACAAAGAGACTTGTGACTTGACTTGTGACTGGACCTACTGACTTGTGACTGGATGTACTGACTTGTGACTGGACCTACTGACTTGTGACTGGACCTACTGACTTGTGACTGGACCTACTGACTTGTGACTGGACCTACTGACTTGTGACTGGACCTACTGACTTGTGACTGGACCTACTGACTTGTGACTGGACCTACTGACTTGTGACTGGACCTACTGACTTGTGACTGGACCTAATGACTTGTGACTGGACCTACTGACTTGTGACTGGACCTAATGACTTGGACTTGCAAAAAATGACTTGCTGCCACCTCTGCTCTTTCAGTGTTGGTAGCGGCAGTACCTGTGCACGCAGTCGCAATTTGTGTGTTATTCATACATCATTTCTAGGAAAAACAAGTGAGGGCCAGAAAAGGTGTTGTCCCACCACTTTTGAGCCAGCCCCTGACCAGAAACCGGAGACCGTTTTGTCTTTTGACCTTAACATGCAAATTTTTCTGCATCGAATAACCACAAGGCAAAAAGTCAGGAAACAGAAATTGAACATGTTATATTACAGACACTCAAGCCAACAAGGGATCATGGGATAATACTTGAACTAATGACTTTCAAGTATGATAACAATCATAGGTGTGTCGTTAAGTCTTTGTGTTCATTTTTTCATTGAATAAAGTTGACTGCAAGATGGTACTGTTTGGTTTCCCATAGCAACCCTGACAGGAAAAATTTCCCTTGTGTTTCCTTGCCCAGAAACTGAAGAAGGGGTGTGCATGGAGCTCATCCCAGGCTGATGATGCAGTTGACCTGAGAACAAGGCTGTGTAGGAACCACCCCAGGGGCTGCAGAATCAGCCGTGCACAGAATACTGCATGACTAGGGTCTGCCGACACCGGTACAGTGGTACGTCATTCTCTTAGTAGGCGTTTGCAGATTAGCAGAATTGATGATGTAATTGTCAGAGATGCCACTTTTCTGGTTTTATCAGGATTTCCCCTTTTTTAAATAGACCTCCGAAAATCCCATTTTCCCTTCTGACTCAAAAGAAAAATGCCAGAAAAGAAAACACAAACTTATGGGAATGTGTTGATTTTCATCTCTATAAATTCCAGTTCAATGACGGTCATACATGACATGAATGTGTACAGCTCTTGTCCTGTAGTAGCCTTAAATACATAGTTGCCTTCATCTGCATGATCTTCGAAATGACCAGAGATTCAGCAGTGCCATGCGTACCAAGCACAGCCCAGCCCAGCCCAGCCCAGTGCAGTGAACTATCTAAACACACACCTTGTGTGGGCATATGAGTCAATTTGTGCTGCTTCACTGCACCGCCCCGTGCACCTTTTGTGGGCATTTAGCACATTTATCACACAGCCTTGAATTCAAGTCTATCATGTCAGTCAGTGGTTCCCGATCACAGTGGTTGTATGAATAGGAATATTGTACATGTACAAAAGTCGGGAACCAACTACACCAAGGTCGTGCACGTGTGTTTTTGCAGGCTGCGCAGTCACTGTCAATTGATGTCTACAACCATGGTACAACGTAACCGTACACAATTTGGAGTTAAAACTTTCATGACATACCTGTGCTTTATTCAACAGATTTTGTCAAAATATGGAAATATGTAGAATTTTAGACAGAACAGTCAGCTTAAAGCCTTCGAATCAAACGTGAAAGGTAAGTGGAACTTGACACAGTTGTAATGGAAATGACCCTTGTTGTTTAATGCACTCCACTCACTGCACGCAGTTGTGCGCTTTGATGCTATTTTCCAGGATTAAAAGATTTTTTTGGTAGCAGACCCTTCGGCATCTCTGAGTTAGTACTTTCAGCACACCGATGGCATTCATGCATAGTGATACAAGCCAAACTAGACTATACACCAGAAGTATGATAAGTCATTCTGATTATGATAACGAGCTGACATACATTTATCAGAGAAAATATAAATGGTGAATTGTCAAGTTCTTTCCTCGCCTTCCACCTCTGCAGTCCGGGTTCGATTCCAGGCTTGATCCACATGTGGATTGGGTTTTCAGTCCCTAGCTGATTCCATGGGTTTACCCGAAAAAATTCCTCTGGGGTTTTCCTTCCACCTCTAGACCTGTAACTGCTTCTTATTGTCTCCTCTCTACAGGTTTCTCCAGACTTGCGAGCTACAGTGCAGTGCCTTGGGCATTTTTGAGGTGTCTATTACCAAAAGACATGTAGTTGCAAATGAAAATATTAATAATAACAAAGAGATGACTTGTCCAATTTGTAACTCCGCTTGGAATGGGAGAGAAGATTTCCACAGAACTGAACTGCTGGAATTTCATTTTAGAAGAGTTCGATAGGGTTTTTAGGATTTTATCTTCATTAATCTTAAATTTTTATGAAATGATTGATTCTCAGATATTAAACAAGCAAAAATGACTTTAAAAGTTCAAAGAACTTGCTTCGTAGTTTCATTTGAGTTAGGAAGTGGGTGGAATGCCCCAAAGTTGCTTTGTCTTCAACTCATAACTTTCACCTTATATTTCCTGTGCTTTGTCAATACACAGGACAAGATGTCCCATGGGTCTACCTTGATGGAGCCGATCCAATTCATCTCTCCAACAACCACCCTTCCCTTTTGTGACCACCAGGATGTTAACCTCTCCGACATCAAGGAGCTCCATCCAAGTCAGTTCAAGTCAAGCCCCAGGCAAGCTTGTCTTTCCTTTATTTCTGGCCCAATATTGTTTTAACTTGTGAAAAAAAGATCAATTACTATGATCAAAGTGACTGGAAATAATTTCTTTTTTCACTCTTTGAACATTCACTCAAATTTCATTTCCTCAAATCTTGCATTTTGTGACCTTCTTTGCCACTCAGGACAGTGCGAAACAGAACCATTCCATGAATGCCTCAGAATGGGGATATCAATTTTCCCTTTCAAATTTCTGCTTTTAATTTTTGTAAGTGTGATGCAGGAGTTCCTTTACAAGTTTATTCGATGGAAAAAAAGGGTTGATGGGCAAGCTACAACAAAAACACAGAAGTAAAAATAAGTAAATGTCAAATTACCTGGATAGTATGTGGAAACAAGCAAAAGCTAAAAAGGAAACTATTAAACACAAAATTCAGTCAAGTTGAACTAAATAAACCCTTAAATCAAGTCCTGAAACTTCTCAAATTCTTTTGTCAAGAATACAGATTCCTAGTCAGGGAACTAAACTAACAGAGTAAAGAACACTTAGGGAAACAGGGTCCTTCCTCAAGGGTAACTTGCTTCCTAATCCACCTGATTAAATATTCGCAGCAGTCAAAGCAGAGCAGTAAGATTGCTGGCCAGTGTCCTGAACAATAAATAGTAGGCCAAAATCCTAAACATACTAATGATCTAGGGAATAGCCCCACCAGAGGACATTGGTATGTGTAGGTTGGTGTATGGTTGGTGCACTGATCACATCTTAGTGATTACTGAAGCTGTACACAGTCCTTCTCACACAGCATCATATCAATAAACTTCCACAGAGTGGTGTGATGTGGCTAAGTCAATTACTGACATACCAGCTACACTTACACTCAACCACATTCCTGGCCGGTCCTCATGACTGTACTGGCTGGTGTACCTACAGTGTGGTCTTATCACATATTCCAAGGAAACCACTATGCAAGGAGCCTGAAGTGTGGTCAACCTACTATATACACAGTACATATCTTACAGGAAAGTTTCCAAGTTGGCTAAAACATCAGGCAAAGTAATTGACATGAGCACTCATATTCTGTCAATAATAGAGTCCGCTATGCATTTGAACTGCCTGTAGATAAATACACAAATAAAGATGGAGAACTACAAACAAGTAAGTAAAGTTAAACCAAGTCTAGCAGCATAGATTAGAAGTAGCAAGCTAAACTAACAATGAGGAATCATTTGAGAAACAAGAAATTAACAAAATACAATTAACTGAACTCTCTCACAAAATCTTTTGGATCCTAAGTGGGCGGGGCCCAGTAGTTTCAAAGAAAGCTTTTGGGAATGTCAAGATTATGACGGTCAAATTTGCCTCGGCAATAAACATACACAATACAAATCATTCTCAAGTAATAAAGTAATTAAAGGACACGCTTGTAAGATGCAGACCGGCAACGAGGAAAAGAAAAGGGGAATTTAGTACTTCACAAGGATGGGGAAATTGCTACAAATGATGAGGCTGCACAGGAACTGGAAGAGCGGGAAAGTGGCTCAAGGTTCATTACACAGACCACACTGGTGGACCCAAGACCCTCAGTCGGGGGCTGTCGTTAGGGCAACCAGTGGTGACCTAAATAATAAAGGGGCAGTGCACTAAAAGTGCCTGGTCACATATGTATTGGCCATACCGGTGGGTACATGTACATAGTCATTAAGACCAGTGAGATAGGATGCTTTACATTTGAAGCGGCCGAGGAAGCCCTGCACACATCTTTCCCCTCACCAGTCCTCTAGCGGCAGGTGCAGTATGTACATACATGTGGGAATTTGTAATTTCACACTTGAGAGAGCACCACCATTGTTCTTCATCTTCACTGATGCAACTGTAGTGCTACGCGTAGTTCATGTACCAACCATGCTCCAGATTTGTGCAGATTTGTTCAAGTTCTTGCTGGCTGCAGAGTGACCCCTCCAAGATGCTTATACAAATGTACTTCAAATTTCAGGCACTCTTGAGGCAACATTCACAATGTGTTCCACAAAACAGCAGCATCTAGCTTTCCTGTCTCTCCAGTCAGAGTCACTTAGGGAGATTTGACTTCGTAGGATATCTTGAGCCTCGGTAATACCAGGCTCAGTATGATTGTTCTATTCAGCAATGGTTAATCATGTTGAATTTTTTGTTACATTCACAGCGCTGATGCCTGACTGTAGTGTGACATGATTGAGTATCCTGACTCGTCTGTCTGCCTGCAGTACTAGTGAATGTCCTGATGCTGACACCCTACGGCACCTGTTGATATCACAACACATCACTGAAATGCACCCTGGAAGTTAATTGAGGGTAACAGCTAGGGTGAGAATTTTCACTTTTACTTACTTTCGTCGGTGGGTTTCACGTTGTGGGGGGGGGCACTTTGGATGCCCTCATTTTCCAGTGGAGAACACTCAGTAGGGTTTGGTCATAGCTAACCACTTTGGGCCGGGGGCATTTGTAAATATTGATTCTGCTGGGATGGAGTATTGTTCATTTTTTTCTGTTTTCAAAATTTAAAAATTTTCAGCAGCCTGGTCTTTTGTTACGGGTACGGTCTTTTGTAACAAGGCCTACGTCCGTTTGTCCGATTTTGGGCACCCCAGCTGTGCATTTCAAGAATACGGGCTCCCCGGCAGCAAGTGGTTAACACTGACCAAGTCTAATCTTTTTTTCTTTCTCGATATCTTTTTTTGGGGGGGGGCAAATGCCTCTGTTTTTGGTGTCTAATTTACTTTGCTATTGCATTCACCTGAAGTACATGAAGCAGCCTTTGGGTTGTCAAAAGACCACTTCTGCATCAACCCTAGCTTGCTTTCTTCTCACGCACTCTACTGGAGACTATGAGCAAAAATGAGTCTTGAGTTAGGGAATATCCGATTCTTGGATGTCAACCACTGCACTGTCTCACGTTTTGTGATTTTATTTTTCGGAGGCCTCGTCTGATTGCACCAGCGTCTTGTACATGGACAGACATTGTTTTGGTGTGATTGATGGATCTGTGCGATTGTTCCATCCTGTTCTGCTATCAGTTGATTGATCCTATAGAAATATCTATTGATCCTTTTGCTGTCACTAGTAAAAATATTATATCCTGATCTTTTCTTTCCAATTCAGGGTTATGGAAAACTTTTGGAAGGGGCATCGAAGTCTTGGATTTCGTACGCAGATCAGTTCATTGACTAGATGTTCCAAACCAACCATCATTCAGGTGATGTTGATTAAACTATCGTTAACCAAAGTCATCACTCCAACTTGTCCTAAAGTGTACATCTTTAAACCATAAGGAAGTTAGGTGTGCATTTCAGATCTTAAACTGGTTTATTTGAGAGTGTAAAAAAGGTTGGCAATGTTAAAACATTTTGACCTCATTGAATTCAAAACCAGAGAGATACTGACATGTTTCAGTCAAAGAAGAAGATGAGCTCGATCTTTCACTGCTGAAGTTGTATTTCAATATTTCTGGCACATTTTATCTGGTTGTTTTACAGCAAAGTGTTGTATTCCACATTCATCTTCCTGAACCAGGGTTCACTGTTGTTGCTTTTTGAGGTTCTGTTTTTTATTTCAAGTTATCATGAATCTCTGAATAGAAGAGTGATCATCTACATTGTACATGTACACTGTATGTTACATTTCTGTTAGTATTGCAGTAAAAAGCCCCATCCATTCCACTTTCAATACAAGCTTGGATTGAGGCAAGCTTGTTCATGGATCCAGTGTAAACCAGTGGGTGGACATGAGCGTCAAACTTTAACCACATGCTGCCGGGTGCTTTTAACCACTTCATGCCGGGGCATTTTTCAATGTTGATGATGCTGGGCCGGCATGACTATCGTTTTTTCCGTTTTCAAAATCCTTCAAAAATTCATTATTTTATTTAATGGTTGTTTATAGCTGCACCAAGTAATCTTTAGGCACCACTCTAAGTTGACAGGTGACCTTCATTGACGCCCAAGTATTTCAGCCAGGCCAGCAGCTTTGTAAACAGAGCCCAGATTGTGGAGTGTTGTATAACTGTCTTTTGTTCACGAACCTGGCTTAGTGCACTGCTAACCTGTTTTCGATGGGGGCCAGATTAGTGTGCAGCGGTGCTGTGTGGCTCATCGCTGCGGTGGTGGAGCGCTTTTGTCCCCGGTGGTAATCTGCTCGCTCTCAATGCCCCAAACCCTGGTATACGGTTTCAAAACAACGCTGGATTATCACCACTTTGAGAGTTTGAGATTTCTAATCTTGGTAATGGCTGGATTTCAGCCTCACACAATTAAGACTTGAGTGACTAGTCCGAGCTCTTGAGCTGCTTAAGTGAATTTGAGCCTCAAACAATCCTGCTTGAGTGACCAACCCTTGTGTTAGTCTCAGCAACATGAAACAGCAGGTGGACTTGAGCCTCAAACCATCTAGGATTGAGTGACCAATCCTTGCTTCAGTCAGAGCAAAATGAACAAGCAGGTAGACTTGAGCTTCAAACTGTCCAGGATTGAGTGACCAACTCTAGCTCTAATTTCAGAAACTGCTGGACTTCATCCTCAGACTGTTCAGGCTTGAATGACTAAGCCTGGGTCTTCTCTCAGCAATGTGAACCAGCCGGTGGCCGGACTTGGGCCTCGAACCTGCTAGAATTGAGTGACCAATGCTTGGTCTGAGCTTGTCAGCATGAACCAGCTGATGGACTTGAGCTTCAAACCACCCAGGCTGCAACCAATCCTTGCTTTGGTCTCAGAAACATGAACCAGCAAGTGAATGTGAGCATCTAACCAAACAGGCTTGAGTGACCAATCCTAGTTCTGGCTCTAGCAACAAAAGAAGCAGGTAGACATAAGCCTGAAAGGATTGAGGATTGAGTAGCCAATTCTTGCTCTGGTCTCATCAACATGAACAAGCAGGTTGACTTGAGCCTCAAACCATCCAGGCTTCAGTGACCAGTCCTAGCTTGTGAGCCTCTTTAGGTGTAAGCCTTAAAGAGCCTCTTACCAGGCGGAACTTGCTCATCGAGCCTGACACCATCCAGGTTTGAGTGACCAGTCCTAGTTCTTGAGCCTCTTACCAGGCTTGAGTTTATCTTGAGCCTGACACCATCCAGGCTTGAGTGACCAGTCCTGGCTCTTGAGCCTCTTGCCAGGCTTGAGTTTAACTTGAGCCTGACACCATCCAGGCTTGATGAGTGACCAGTCCTAGTTCTT